GGGCAGGATTCAGTGCTAATGGCTGAGAAAAATGTTTCAAGTTACACCGGTTTCGGATGTGCTGCTTTAAAAGCAAACCGAGGTATGTTTTGAAGCAAGTTAAGATTATGTTTATGTTTACAGACAATCTGACTCCTGCGTACAAAGAATGCTTCTCCTTGGACCAAAAAACTAAAAACATCAAGAAAAGTCAAAGGTAATGCAAATGATCTGCAAATGATTCCAGAGCAGGAGAAGCACCAAAGCAGTTGAGCAATAGTCATGGTCTTAAATGTGACTTCCCTGACTCCTGCTTTGTTCAGTATTTTAATTATACTTTTTAAAAAAGCTAAACCACTTCAGATTTCAAAGCACATTTATATACATTAAGTGTCCCAAGGTAAAAAATCATTGCCCTCTTTATTACAGAAGGAAAGTGAAAGACAAACTATTTGTCAAAGGCACAGACTGAACTGATATAAAAGGACTGGAATTAAACCCCAAGTGTTCATAAGGCAACTTATTGTTTCTAAAGCTTTTTTTTTTTTAATATTATAGCAATAATAATTTTAAAAGGTTCTAAAATGAACATAAGACAGTAAAGTAATGAAGTAAATGAAGTAATGAAGTAAAGTAAATGAACATCAAGACAGTAAAGGCCATAAGGAAGGCAACTTATTTAAATTAATTAATCCACAATTGGAAAACTATAGTGAATTATTAACAGATTGTTGCTGGCTCCAGCACAAGGATTAAATCAGCCTGCAAAGTAGTCAACCTTGCCTTGCATCACAAGATAGGAAAGTACACAGGTTAATCCACCCTGTGCTGGATACTTTCTGCTCTGAGGCAGCAAATCACATTTGCAGGGGGACATGTCCCCGCAGAGATGAATGCAGCCCTGCCGGGCGCCTTTCCAGGGGCCCTCTAATGGCTGCAGCTTCATCTCACATCACGTACAAGGGAGACCAGAAAAATTCAAAGCGAGACTTTCCAGAAATTTCTCATGAAACAGCTTTGTTTCCATTTGAACAGAAGGGGTGAACAGTTAATACACACTAACTGAAGACTGCTCCTGCACGGGCTTTTTATATTTCCTGGTATTATGCCAGCTCTTATTGGTAAACATTTCTGTGGGCAGCAGTACTGGAGAGAAACCAAAACTCATAGTTCTCCTGTTCTGAGAGAAGAAAGGATACGGAATGAGATGGGGTTCCAGGGCAGTTAAGCCAGTACAGCTTCTTAAAATAAACTGAGTTCTACACAATCTACTTTATCTGTAACAAACTGCTGGGCAACTTTTCAATATCGGATGTAGTTCAATGAATCTTCACAAAGTAAGTTAATATCATGAAGTTCACAAATCAAAACTGAATTGTCCTACATCTATTCCCAATATACCACATGACCATAAAATACTGATAATTGGTAAGGATAACTTCACCTAGGAGTGGTCACACAAACTACTGTGATGAAATGCATTTGTTCCAGGTTTGTACGACTGGTACTTGGTTTACTGTCAAGTTCCCTTTCACCTTTCTCCATAAACTAACAAAACATCACACAAACTTTGTATTGCCTTCAGAAACAAACACTACACAGAAAAGCTGATTCTGATTCTCAGAACATAAGCTAATTCGTTCTAGTAATAATCTCAGTGTCAAATTGTCTGAAGAGGATTGCTCCACTTCATGATCTACCCATAAACACACGACGCAGAAGCAGCTTTGCAGCGTGGAAACTGAACGGTCAGAGCAGCCCATGCAAGTGCACTCATCCTCCCACCCCGTCTTGCACCAGTTGTCCCCAAAGCACCCAAGCTATGATCAGCAGAAGGTGAAAGACACGAACGAAGTAGCTGTGAAGAAGCAGGAATTCCTTAAGCTGCACTGCCCCCAGCCTGCCGGCTCTGGGGTTGGCCCCACTTTGGCCAGTGCTGCTCAACACTCCAGACCCAGCAAACTCACCCAGCGGGGAGGATGGTGAAGGTGTTACCGGCCGAGTAAGCGATGTCTGTGGGATTCCAGAGCTGCAATGAAGCAAACAGGGCTGTTAACCCCCGAGCTGCCTGTACACGTACTGACACAGCCCCTCCGCTCCACGGGTCCCAGCTTCAGCACCTCTTTCTGCCCTGTCCTGGACAGAGACTGGCAGGCAGCAAATGTCCTCTCCAACTAGAGTCTTACACATCTGCCAACATTTTTTACTTCTCACTGAACATCTTTACTCTAATGTTAGGATCATGTGGCTAGGAGCCACAAAGCCTAAGGAGAACACCCTCCCAATGGTATAAAGCGGTCAGAGACACATCATCCTGGTCCACATAGATTATCCACTTGAACAAAGAGAACATCAGGAACCCTCCACTCCCATCCAGGCCAATGACCCAGTAGTAATTGCTGCTCACAAAACAAAAACCAAACAATAATGCTTTCAACTACCTGGCCCTCAAAAAACAGCTTTGCTGCAGTTATTTCTCCTGTAAAGCAAACCCACACACTCTCCTTCTCAAAAAGCCAGACCCATTTCCCATTCTGTTCGTAACAGTGGGAGACTTTAGTCCCCAAAAGGCATTTTCTAAAAATTTTACACACAATTGTATAACCCAAGGAAACCCACGTGGAGCAGTGTTGTACAGCAAGCACTTCCCAAGTAATGCAAGGTTCCTCCTGTGCTCTTTCACATTTGCAAACATTCCTCAGCACTACTATGTTCCAGCCAACATTTTTCCTGACATAATAGCTTATTCCTTGAGAAGGTTCAGACAGAGTTTGACATTAAAAAGATCAGCAGCAGACAGACAGTGTCCTGGATGTTTTGAAAAAGAAAAAAAAAAAACACAACCACTTTTCTTTCAAGAACATGTAACCCAAACAAGACTCAATGAATGTGTGTGAAAATAAAAAATGAGCCTACAGTGCCTTTTAAACGACAAAGCAGAAAAGTTTTGGCACAGAATGAAAAATGTGGAGATACGTAAGAGCAAAAAAGGCCCTGAAATTGGTAACTGAACTACCCAGTTACATGCAAAACTGCAAGGGTAACTAACCCCTTGCATTGTAAAGTATTCTGCTTTTTGAAGGCAAGATGAGCAACAGCCAAGAATAAATGATACTGCGTGGGCATAGGTAGCCACCAAATGAGAAAAAATAGCATTATCTTAACAAGAACAGTCTAACATAACAGCAGCCACACATTTAGACTTAACATGAAGTGAGATGTAGCAGAGATTGAGATGTAATAAATAGGAATTGATTTAAATGCATTAAATATCTGTTGAACCAGAGGCTCTTCTGCTCCAGCTCAGGGACATGTGACGGGAATCACAGTAATGCCAACCTGAGCAACATGCACCACGTAAAACGCACAGGAATCAGAGCTCACCTGTGCTGATAGAAACCTGCAGCTCTGCTTCCATGGACAGACTCAGCAATGGTTAATACTGAAGCACTGAGCAGAGAATCTGACTTCTGTACTAGCACATAAAAAAGAGCCTTTGCCATCATTTTGTGCTTCAGCAGCTGTGTCACCAGCAGCACGTGGGGTCTGGGGGCACAGCAGCTCCCAGCTCTTTAGCAGGACACTGACGTTCAGCACACCTTGGGTATTAACGTCAAAACTGGTTCTAGCCCTGTTCCTGTTCAAACGTTTATACAACATGAATTAAAACTTTCTTGCTCTGCCTAATTCTTCTTTTATTTGTATTTACTTTTTTCCTCACTAGCAATTTCCCACTCCTTCCAGATGCACAATGCTGCAACTGAAAGCAGGGGGCACACACAGCTCAGGGCTAGGGGGATGTACCCATCAGAGAAGAAACAGGGATCTCATCTTGTACAGGTGAGGGGACTGAAGATGAGCGATTTTTAGCCACTTCTGGTATGATCAGATTCCAAAACACTTAACCTTTCTTTAGCTTCATCAGCCCATCTATTTCTTGCAGAAGACACTGCAAAGAGAATTATTCTATAAAACCTGGTAACACATCATTTCGCTTTTCTCACATAGAAATATCTTTGACAACAGCAGTTGCCTCCAACAGGTCTATTTCTGCTTGGAGCCAACACCAAGATCTGTGCCCAAATAACCATCCCAGGCAAATGGCAAAGCTGAAACAAAAAAAGTTATTAACTACTTAAGCATGGTTTTCTTGCTTGTTTTTTATCTGCAGACCATAAAACATTATTTGCTCCAAATCATCTCAAACAGCTGGACAAGACTTGCACCTTCCAGGCTCAAGTTAATGCCACTGGGTAATGCTGCAACACCAAACCCTCATGAGGATTCATGAAAGAAACAAGACTTTTATCCTCTGGGAAAACAGCTTTCCAGACTTCTCAGATGATAGAAATCTAACTGCAGTTCCTCTTCAGCCTTCCTTTGCCCCATACACACACACCCTCCCCTCTTTGATTTTTCCTGCAAGAACCTATCAGACTTTTATCACAGACATCTACCATAGTTTTTCCTACACTACATTAGCTTATTACACATTAATTCAATTTAAAGATGAAAATGTGAAACAGCAAGGTGCTCAGTAGTTGGTGTATCTCCTGTTTCTGTTAATGTAATTCAGTTCCTCTTACACTTTGCTCAGTTCCTCTATGACCAGCCCTTCCTCCTCTGCATGTGATTACAAAGGGGAACTCATGAGGCTGTCACAGCACCAAGCACCCTCACAGAGCTACAAACAGTTTTTTAAAAAGGCATTTTTATCTTAAAGGCAGTGGTATATAACACAAACATGACAATTAGCTTTTGAATCAAAGTATTAAAACACTCATAATTCCAACAGACTGTCTCTGTCGAACTCTTTCTTAGCCCAGTGGTGCCTGTGCCCACCACCCCTCAGGGGATATCACTTCACAGATCAGCAGGTTAATTAGTGTAAGTTTGGCTAAAATTATTTTTGTGTGTGTTTAGAGGACCACTCACTTCTGCCTCTCATTTCCAGCCCAGCTGCCTTTAGAGCACAAGAGAAATGGTTTCAGCTCTTCCAGTTCCTGTTTGCCACGGCTAACATGAAGGACCAGCACTGCCCTGTGCCACTGGCCAATGAACGACTGGAAGTGCTGCAGGTTAGTCCTGAACCTCTGCACACGTTTATTTGGTGCAGTTTCATATGACCAGCATGTCCAACTCCCCAGCAAAGAGCTGAGGAAAGTCTAGTGCAGCTGCTGAACTGTGAGCACAACAAAACTCTGTGCAGGTGAGAGTTAGGATTTCTAACAGCATTATTGCCTTAAGAACTCCCAACTGATGGTTTCTGATGGATCATCTACATTCCAGAATATGCACTTTGCTGGTTCTACTCCACATGCTAAAATGTGACTATTCCTGCTCTATTGGTTGCACACAGTGGGAAAAACACAGGGGACCAGAAGTCAGAGCTGTAAGTGGGGCTCATGCCAAGAAGCTGACAGAGCCATAGGCAGGGGCCTGTTTCCAAAGGAACCAGGGAGGCAACGAGCACACGGTGCCATGGGAGAGGCAGTTTCACTATCCACAGAAGCACAGGGAGATCAATTTATTTATTTTAATTAAAAAGTCATCATTTCAGATTGAATCAACAGATCTTCTAGTTGACCCTATAATCCAATACCCTTGTATAAAACCTACTACCTTGAAGGCACTCGAGTCCTATTGAAACAAAACTTTGAGGCAAAGAGATCACAAAATCCCTTTGCAAGAACTTGATGAGATAGAACAAGTGCCAGCAGAGGCCCAGCATGAAAACTGTGCTCTTGCTGTGGGTGAAAAACTTGTATGATACCTTAACACATCAGACTTGGTTGGAAATCCCTTCCTGATATCAAATCTGGATCAGACTGCAAACATATGGAGAAGACACAGTAAATGAGGGAGGGATTCTCTGACCTGGTCCAGCACACCCCTGTGCTCACTGTGAGCTCTGCTCTCTGTGACTAATACTGATCATTTAAAGAACAGTGCAGGAAGAAACACACTACCTCAATCCAACTTTCCTCTGTTAGAGCAGCATATGGAATTCCACCTTGAAGCACAGGTTCCTCCAGAAGCATAAGATTGCTTAAACCTACCTTAATTTAGATCTACAGCCCTTCAAGTAACATTAAAATAATAATAAAAACAAAACATTAAAAATCCTGCTATTTCTGCAGCCAAACATCCTTAGAAGTACAGAGTTCCAGAAGATGACTCACTGATCATCTCACTGATCTTGCCAAACCACATGGGCATCCCTGCACCAGCAAGTTGCCCAAAATTTCAGGTTTCAGCTCATCTTCAAAATTGTTATCATTTCAGCTAAGGAGTTGTAATAATAACAAGAGCTGAAGAGCTCAGATAATGGCAAGCCCTTAACCTCCCCCGTAAACTACCCCTATCATTACCCTCCTTCGCTGCTAGGAAATTGTGTCATATTTAAAAGAATTTGTGTAGCTTTGACTTTCAGTTACTGGATCTCATTATGCCTTCGTTGGAAAGACTGAAAATATTCAGCTATCAGATAACTTTCCCATAGCCATGGATTTCCACAGAGTGGCTGAGTCACTTCTTAACTGTCTTCTCTTGGACATGCCTGAATATACTAAGTATGTTAAGTCCATTACAGGGCTCATTTTCCAGAACCAGAGCATTTTTGTGGCCTCCTCTGAACTCTCCAGTATTTTCATATCTTACTTGAGAGCTACTCTAAGTGGACATGATGTTCCAGCAGCCTGTTCTAACACCACCACATGCACACATGATCACTACCACTTGATTCTCTTTAGAAAATGGAAAAAAAACCAACAAAACCCAAACAAACCAAAAACCAACAATCAAATAAACTCTTCCCACAATTGTCAAGTTCAAATTGCATCACTGATGCAACTAAATCCTGTAAGTCACTCTCTGCCATCTCTGTGTTTCTCGTAAGGAGCTACTGTGGTTTCTCGCCTTTACACAAATTTTCTTCATTACATGAAGATCCTTCTCCCACTTGGAACCATCTTTCCAGAAAGGTCAAACCAGACTACACAGTAACATCTCCTCATTGATCAGCTCATCTCTCTGTCACCACTAAACTTCAACAGCAAATGTTATAAACTTTCCTTTGGATAATTTCAGTCAGTATCAGTATTTGAACAGTCAGTAAGTGGAAGAGCTGACTGGAAGCAGCCCACTCATTTATGTCTTTCAATTACTGAGCAAGATGCAAGATTTGTTCCTATGCACGTTCTTAAATTCCTCCTTGTTGCCTTCCACCAACACCTGTGCTTAATTAAATTGTCAGGTTACACTAGAGTCAAAGTCCCCAGAGAATTTCTGCTATGTGATGCTAACAATATCAGTTTACTTAACTGGATCTCGAAATACCCCTCAAGAAAGAACACATTGTGGGAGGGAATCTCTTCTTCAGGCTGTTGTTGAGCTTTTAACCTCTACCTTCACTGATACTTGGAGTATCTAATTACTTAAAAAATTTCACCTGCTCATTTTATTTTATTCCTGCTACTGACATCGGGTTAAAAAACACATTTAATCTTTCCACCTGTGTGGACAACAATGGTGCTACTCCCACTGAACATTTTTCTCCATTTTCTCAAGCCTTTTTAAGCCACTGGCAGGGAGTTCAACCGAGTTGTTTAAACTGAGCTGTCTGAAAACACCACCCTGCCGCCTGTGGCAGGGCTGCCGTCGGTTCCTGTGACTTCCATTAGTAACTAATTCACTCCAACGATCCGGAAAGCTCGGAACTGTGTGCGGTGGCTTCGCCAGGACCGTGAGTCTGTCCCTCCCGGCAGCGGGTGCGCCCGCCCGGCCCCGCTGCCGAGAGGCA